ACACACACACACACACACACACACACACACACACACGCACACGCACACACACACGCACACACACACAGGCACATACACATACAGGAACACACACACATACACACACAGGAACACACACGCACACACACACACGCGCACACACGCGCGCACACACACACACACACACGCACGCACACATACAGGAACACACACACATACACACACAGGAACACACACGCACACACACAGGCACACACACACACACACACATACACACACAGGAGCACACACACATACACACACAGGAGCACACACACACACATACACATACAGGAACACACACACATACACACACACACTGGCACACGCACATTCTGTCACCAAGGAAACCAACCGGTTGTTGAAACGCGGCCCGTTGAGCACAGATCTTTCCCCACACTTGTCTTTCTGTTCCCAAAAGCAGGCTGATGATGCCCTGCAACGGCATGGAAAGCCAGGAGGCCACACCTCCACTGACCGCATCCCGCCTACCAATTAACAGACACCACCACCCCAGTGGTGCCCCTTCCCACCCTGCTCTAAATGCCGTTTCTGACGAATCCTGGTAAAGAAACAGCTTATCACAAGACTCAGCTTGATTCTGTTGAAAAACTGCCTACACTACAATTGTAACTCCTCCCCCCCCCAAAAAAATAAATAAATAATACAGTGTACTAATTAAATGACCTGTCACAAAGAATAAATATGTAAGGCTGAGAGCAGAGATTTGTAATATTTACTGTTTTTAAGCTGAAACCATCAGCACACATGCAGCACCTCCCCCCAAGGAGCCGTACGTGGAAGACAGATCCGAGCACCTGGAGCACAGGAGGAATGGAGTGGAAATGCCCACAAGAGGGCGCTCTTACCATCTCCAACCGCCATGTGTTACAATTGATTCCCGAGAAAGCGTCAAGGGCAAATTCTAGAATTAAACTGCCGAAAAGCAAGTTGACTGGCGGAGGTAAATGAGGACGGTGGATTATAATCAGAGACAGGCTGCTGGTGTGACATATGGGCCATTACCAAGTGACACTGCAGAGGTGTACTAACCCAATATAATAATAATAATAATAATAATAACACAGAGGCAGAAGCTATTTTTTGCCCCTACAGCCACTTGGGGGCAGTAAAAGCAATCAGTGATAATGGCAACGCATCTCAGCCCTAACCCTCATCCACTGCAGGGTGGGAGGAGCCCAGGTCAGGTGAGAGTGTCCGAGGGCCGCCGAAAGCATCAGCTGACCCGTTACGCTGGCTGACCATGTGACTTTGCTGACCCCGGGGGAGTGGTCTGATCTGCCTGGGACACCTGCAGGTCACCAGGATTCAAAATGGCACCCGGAGGAGTTACATGTGATTTAACAAGCAGAGAGACTTGGGCTACGAGACGATGTTTCCCGGCTGTTGCAGCCGGTAATGGCTTCTGTGGTCCTAGAGGACGGTTTTCGGTGCTGAGGTGCGACGTTACCAATTCCATTAAAAATCCACAATACGCTGAGCTGAATAACCAGCTCGACAAGCCAACATATTGATTTCAAGCTGAGCATCCAGCCCAGAAAAGCGTTTATAACCGATGAAACCAGAATTCAAAATGTTTTGCTGCCGTATATAAAGTGGTACTAGGCAGCTTCTGTGTGATTAAAACCAACTGTTGGGTGTCTGTGATGCAGGATGGATCTCCAGCGGTGGGTCTGAAAAGCAGCGGAACACGAGGTTGCAGTCACAGAGGTCCAGAAATCGAGGGAAATAAATATTTCATGTCTTTGATCTCCCTGGACCCTCAAAGGAACAGTATGTAATACCTGGGTACAAAGCAAGGGTGAAAGGTCCGTCTGTTGGGAGGGGCCGAATGGGTGTGTCTTGGTGGTAGGGAACAGGGCATGGCTCAGTGCTCACCTCTGATAGGGTGCTGTTCAGCTGGAATATCTGGCCCTCCCCCTCCACCTGCCGCACGCACAGCTTGCAGGTCAGCTCAGTGGTGCTGCCTGAGAAGCGCTCCAGGGTGAAGGTGCAGTGGAGGGTGCGGTGGGAGCCGCTCCACACCTCAGAGAACGGCAGCTCCTATGGGGGAGAGCAGGCTTTGAAACAGGGGCCTTAGGCCGGGCTGGAGGCAGGGCCTGTGTGGGGTAGACCGGGGGTGGGACTGGCATCCATCTTCCTCCCCTCTCTCACCATCTCACCAACTCACCTGATACTTAGCCAGCAGTTTGCTCTTCCACAGCGCGTGCGGGACGTCGTGGATGGATAGACGCAGGTTGTGCGTGCTGTCCTTGAAGTTTAGGGTCTTTGGTTCATCAAGCAGCTTCCCTCCCATCTGCGTTTCCATCTGAAGGACCTCCTGTGGGGGTGGGGGGGCACAAAGTCATGACTGTGGAAGAATAAACGCCCACACAAAACCACAGGAAGTGACCAACGTGAGGGGGTCTGTCAATTGACCACTAATTATGAGCCAATCCTCAACTGGTCATCAGCCAATCAGAGAGGGTGAAAATGTCGACTGCAACCTGAGAGGGTTGTGACCATCTGTCCAATCGCGAGAATAACACGGACCCACAGCGTGGTCTGTTAGGGATAATGGGGGGGAACGCAATCTCCTGTCAGCATGAAATTACCAAGGTAACCAGAGAAAAAAATACAATACTGAAACAAACAGAACTTAACACCTCCTACACGTGCTGTTTTTAGCTTCCTGGACAATGCGACGTTTCACTGGCTCAGAGTCCGCTGGCCGGATTCACACCTGGCTGTCCGACCCCTGCTGGGACACCGTGAACTTCGCTGCCAGTAAAGGGCAGAGGATTTCAGATCTATTCTTAGAGAGAACAATCCTATTTTTACTTTCCGCTTGGGCTGAACAGCGAGGAATTTGGCGAGTTCTTACAGGGGAGTCCAAGCCGATCCAAGCCGTGAAATCTCTGCCCTTGACTGATAAAGTTCACCTTGCAGCTGCACAGGGCCCCTTTCCCTTCCCCACTCTCTCCATGGCCAGAAGTGACACATAGAAACAGGATTACCAGTAGGTGGTGCCGTGGTTGTGGAACTGCACGCAGAGTGAATGCATATAAATGTACAACTCTCAGAACCGCTGTGTATATACACCCCCTGCTGCTTCTAGACAACAGCTGAGCACCGTCTGTGATTGGTTCAAATCCGATATACAGCAAAGACATTTTACCGTTGGGTCCTTGAGCGAGGCCCTTAAGCCCCTATTGCTCTAGGACTGTCTGACCTTGCTTTCTCAAAAAGCATATGTCGCTTTGGATAAAAGCATGTGCTAAGTAAATAAAAATGTAAATGTAATGCTATAAAACATCCAAAATGGCTATTTACTCTTACGGCTATAGTAAAAACATATCTGCAAATATGGATGTGAAAGTAGAACATCAACTGAATTAATGACAGCATCTCAGGAGCTGCAGCCAGCCCTGAATGAAAGCTCTACCTTGAGGGTGTCCTGCGTGTCGTCCAGGCAGTAGACCCGGATGTGGTACTCCAGGGCCATGCTGGTGACAGGGCCAAAGATGGCCAGCTTCAGATGTTTGGTGGCCGCCTTGCTGACAGATTGGCCCACAAGGCAGTAGGTCCCCAGAGTCTCTGTCAGGATGTGACATGCCTCCTCGTCCATCTGGATGTAGTAGGGTGTGGTGAAGTTCTCCTCGCCGACCACGACCACGTCCTGGAGACACCAGAACACACTTCAATATGACACTAGGGGGGCGCTGGGGTGCCCGACAGAGCAGTGAGAAGTTTTCAAGTGTTAAAATCACAAGGTAAAAAAGGGGCAAAGACATGTCACACTGGATTTGTCATATTCCTGGACTTAAACGGGCCCGAATGATAGGTGGTACAGGTGAAGGAATCAATTTCCAAGAAAAATAAGGAAAATTTCTGGGGCACGGAATGTAATTAACACTTTTGAAACCTATATTTCATGTCTGATTCAGGTGTCTTGGGTTTACAGCACATCTTGCGATTACAATAATTGCATTATAATTGAGCTAAAATTTCTAATTTCAGCTGAATAAAAGCAAAAATAAACAGAAAAAAATTAATTTCAAACTCCCTGAAATACTTGACATACTACTAGTATTTTTCCATTTTTCCTGTCTATTCATTTTTTTAACGGGCTGACTTTTAAAAGTCAACTTCTCTGCAGAGAACTCAGATCCTGGAATGGGGTTTTGACCGGATCAGTGCCCAAATGGAAAGTCGTCACGTTCGTGTTAATTATGGCTTAAGATGAGGGTCAAGTCAAGCATACTTTGAAACACAGTCCCTTAACAACCCACAGGATGCATGTCAATTCAGGCCGTAAGCATCAAGAAATTAAAATAGGGTTTGGAAATATTTTTAAAAACTTTTATCTTTAAAGTGTCGGGTCAGAAATCACAGAATTCAGAGGCTGATTTACACATCAAATGCAGTAAATATCGTAAAAAGTTTCCCCTGAGCCTGGACTTCCAGGACCATTTTCGGTTAAAGAGAACAGATGCATTGTGGGCCATGTGACGGCCTCGTGAACGGAGATGCTTTGTAGAGAGGCTCCGTGCTGAGTGACCTGGTTCCTCTATGTCTGTGCTCACAGTGGAGAAACGGTGCTGGCGTGTGATAAGGACAGGGAGTAGGGGAGAGGCGTGCATGTCGGCACCATTGCAAGGACGCCTGTGGCAGGGAGCCATGAGCAGACTCCTTCACATCCTGCTGCAGAAATCAGGGTTCCTCTCTGCAACTTCTGCAGTGCAACCTTAGGCTGATGATCACCTCAACTGATGTGTGGAAGACACACACTCACAACACACAACCAGAAGCATGAAAAGAGAAATCATGAAAAGTGTTTTTCCAACACAGAAGTACACACACTCTCAGGAGTCTGACATACTCTGATACATACGTTCACACTCACAGACACACTCAGACACAAGCTCACTCTCAGTTACAGACACACACTCACACTTGGTTATAGACACACTCACACTCAGTTACAGACAGTCTCTCAGGAGTTGTCACACTTTGAGTTACAGACATTCGCACATTCTCATACAAACACAAAGAAAAGACTTCCTGTCACTCTCTTTCACACATACACATGCACGGCGGGTTTATTATACGTTCTATTGTGGTTGCCATTGATGTCTGGCTTACAAGTATCCTTGATCATCATTTCTACTCCCCTAGGTCATTTATCCAGGAACAAAGTAACCTCTGACTGTGCTAAAATGCAGTCGTGTTTATTCCAGGTGGACCTTGTGGCGCCGCAGACCCCTGTCGATGCCTGTTGACCCTTGTGTGCTATCTCACCTCCCACTGGCCCTGTGGCGAGCGGTTCTTCAGCTGAATCTGCCAGTCCTGGCAGTGGGCCCCAGCGCAGTGGTGCATGGTGATGATGACGGGTCGTGTCAGGAGGGCTCCTGGGGGGCCACAGCTCACCACAGGGCCGAGGGTGGTCTGTGCCTCTTCCAGTGGAGGCCTGGGAGAGCAGGGGCAGAGGAGTGGGCTCAGACGGACAGCATTTAACATTCCCTTGGACTGCCAGGCACAGACTCATTTCATTTGACTGACCCCTCCTCCTTAAGTCCATCACTTTAATATTTTATCACCATGGTTACGTTCTCATTCTCTGCTGTGCCTCTGACTGACAAGAACTTAATAATCATGTATCATTAGAAAGTCATTAATTATGAAGATTGCCAATTATGGAAGGCAACCTGATGGATTCTGATTCTGTATCTCAAGTGGTAATGCCATAACACACACACATCCGGTTAACTAATACCAAATCAAGGGGATGGGGGTGTAGAGGTGTTCCTCTTTCCAAGGACGTGTAAAGATTCCTGACTGACCTGCAATACCACAGCTGTTGGAGAGGGGGCGCTGTAAGCTAGGTCCATACCTCATAATGTCTTTCCTGTGGACTGTCACATACATCTCATAGACACGACCTTGAGGAATGGCCCCTGCTGGCACCAGCAGGCTCACCCCTGTCAAAAAACAGCACAATGACTTTGGAGACGAGATGCTAGCCTCAGATACAAAATGATGACTTTGAATACTGCACAAAGACTCTTTAATCAGCATTAGATAGCAGTATGACATCAGAGACATGACATCAGATGCAAAATGATGACATCAGATGCAGCATGATGATTTAGAAAATAACATGATGACATAAGAGATGAAAAATGATAACTTTGGAGGCAACAAAATGACTTTGGAAACACCTTCCTGACTTACTTCCTGTAGACAATATGCAGAAACACACTGATATCAGGGGAAACGACCTGAGAAAACATACTGACTTAAAGAAATATAATAAACACTCATAAAAACACCATAGAGAACATTCAGAGAGCAATAAACACTCTAATGGCATAATGACAATAGTGTCATTAATTATTAATATTTGTTTTATTATTACTTTATTTTATTAACATCATGGTTCTGTATTTGCCCATCTACACAGGTGTTCCTCTTTCTTAAAGAATAAAACAGCAATTCTGTTCATTCTGACATTTAGATGCTGTGACCAGCGCCTTAACCAGTACACCCCCTGCTGGCCCCTGAAATATGCTGCTGCTATTGTTCCACACCTGTTCCCCAGAGATGTCACCTGCTACTGACTCAAGCTCTTTGATCACACGCCCCCCCATGCTCAGACACTTGGGAAGTGATATTCACTCTCCTGTCCCGTACAGCCAGGAGACACTGCAAAGATTATGGGCCAACTGCAATGGGGGTGACTTCTCCTTCAAAGAGAGAGAGACGTTGGCTCATAACAGGAAGGAGGCATTAGTCCATGGAGAGATCTATCAGAATGGAGAGTCTATGCGCTTCCGTCACACAAAAGTCAAGTTCTAGTGTGAGAGATCACCATAAATACATGTACGCACCTCGCAGACAACATCTCAACAAAAGAATGTTCATTTTTATGATGTAAATGGAATTATATAAAGAGAGTGATGCATTCGCCTGACAGAAGCGAAGATCCACACTGTTCCCACGTACTGTAGTGTGTCTGGTAACACACCCAACGGCTGGCCACTTGCGCAAGCCCATCACGCATCTCCAATAATCCATGCAGACATGCTGTAAAAGGCCACTGAAAGTCCAGGAAGACACCTTTAAGGCGGCCGTATCCCACAGTGCCCTGGAGGAACGGGGCTCCACACCCTGCCGGGAATTAGGCTGCTGCGCCGCACATGCATACCGATGGGGTTCTGGATCACATTCATAACGGAACCCATGGGTGAAGTCTTCTGGGACAGGGCCAAGCCACCAATCATGGCCTTCTGTAGTCTGGCAGAACGTGCCCGCTTTTTGCTTTTCTCACAGGGCCGTAACCGCGATTTGCGATGACAAGCCAGCCGCCGGCAGCCAGAAGGGACTCCGCCGAAGTCATCATTGAGCTCTCAGACACATGGGTCGACTCTTAATTAGCAATGGTTCCTAGACCTGGCTGGCGGCTGCAGTTTTCACAGACTTAAGTGCACAGTGAAGAATGTGCTGCTTCTCAAAGGGACAGAAGACTCCTCTTCATCGCCATAAGAAGACCTTGCACACCACTTAACGTTGACCCTCCTGCATTCCATCTCAGCTTTCAAAATCCCGTCCCCGCATTGCTGTTAGCTGTGTTCAGTGCTTTAAAGACTGATTTGTTACCTGTCAGCAAGGGATGGACTCATAAAAATTCAAATAACCTTTGGTTTACCTGCCAGATCTTTGAGATCACCATCACCCTACTGAGATTACCATCACACCTGTGACATCACCATCATCTCGCTGAGATCACTACCACCCCACTGAGATTACCATCACACCACTGACATCATCATTACTGCACTGAGATCACCATCACCTAACCCTGAGATTACCATGATGCCACTGACATCATCGCATTGAGATCACCATTGTCTTGAGGAAATCACTGTCATTTTACAGAAATCACAGTCACCCCACTGAAACCACCATCTGGTGGTCAGTACTACATTACATTTACAGTAACTTGCTAACTGCCCTTTGTCTAAAGACATGTACTGTACATGAGTGTATAACATCAGGCCAGTTTTCCCATCATTTGATTTTATTGCAAAATCACCACCTTCTACCTTGCAATGCATCACCTAACTTATACATCTTAGTTATATATCAGGAGTCATCCTGAACTGAGGATTTATGAGCGGGGATGTTCTTTCGAACATCACATCACATCCCAAATGCCCCATAATCTTCAGCAGGGTTCATTAGTGCGGGCAAATTTCAAATGAACTCTAAAAACAGATGAAAGAGATTGCGATTTCAACTCCACATGGATAAGAGGTTATGAACCCCAAGCAACAAGGCTCCATTAATCCAGATAAGTCTAATACATACATTCCACAAGGAGAGCGCTGTGATTTTGCAGGCAGGCTGCTGAATTGGAACTATGGCTGTACAGTAGGGCTGCAACGATTCGTCGACGTTGTCGACAAAAATCGATAATAGAAATAGTCGACAATGAATTTCATTGTCGAAGTTGTCGCCAGACATGTTTTTTCCGACCGAGTGAGACATCTCTCTTCATTACAATCTCTGCCGAGAGTCACACATACGCATTAGCTTCTCTACTGAGCGATAACATACAGAAATGGCAGCGTCCAACGCAGCAGCTGCGCGTACCAAAACGTCTAAAGTTTGGGAGCATTTTAGCCTGGATACGGCGAATAAAAAGATTACCTGCATGGTTTGCAAAGCAGTCCTTGCGTATCACGGCAGCACCTCGGTGATGCACGAACATTTAAAGAGAAAGCACGTCGGACAGTTAAATGAAACGGAGCTTGACTCGCCTCGGTAAGATTTAAATAACATGGAAGCCAATACGTTTTGTTTTGGATGTACATTGTACATTTTATAAGCGTATTTTCGCTTTAAAAAAAGAGAGATTTAACGTTATGCCCGACTGTGCCTGACAAAAGTATTTTAAATTAAATGCATGCAGTCTGAAGAAGAGAGCCACCATGGACCCTTTTCTGCAAAAGAAGCAGACGTGCACCCCACAACAGGCGAACGCCCTCACTGAGTCAGTATTGCAGATGCTGATCTATGATATGAGGCCGCTCTCCATGGTCGATGGTGCTGGGTTTCAACAAATGATAGCCCAGTTCAATCCAGACTACATCCTGCCATCCAGAACCCATTTCACCCACTTGATGGAGCAGAAATACAGTACAACGTTTCTGAAGGTAACTGTTTAGAATGCACACACAGTCAGACATATTTCATACAAAAAAAAAATCACAAATTTAATTTAAAAGCAATTTTATATATAAATAGAGCTGGTGCAAGGGTTAGGGCCTTTTGAATGTGCTACCGTTTTCCTCAGTGGGCAGGAGT